GTATAAAGAACAGCGGAATGAGATTATAGCGTTAATTTCGATAGAAGGTGTCAATAGAATAAAGAAATCAGTAAAAATAGTCTACAACAAACGTGGAGTTAAAAAGTTCAATCGAACTTAATTGCTCAACTAATTAGGCAATGTCGCCTAGACGACGGTGAATGTGAGATGACAACGACGATGAATGATGGTGATTATAATAACGTGCACTAGTCAGACCTAAAATACGACTTCCGGCTGTCGTAGGGATATGCGTACACATTGTGATGAAATATTTTTGAGATGGAAAGACGGGAGAAAAAAACATAAAAAGATCATGGGACGTGGTGCTGCGGGTACCTACACGCACACATGTATTATATATATATAATATATGGGTACGTTAGATTTTTTTCACGATGGTTCCCAAATAATAATCGACGTTGCAACAGGCTCGTAGTATTATGGGTTGCCGAGGGGGTTCGTCCGACGGCTCCGCCCACTCGGCGGCGGAGCACAGGTGAAACACAGGTATATAATAATAATATTATCATCGCGTAGACCTACATAATATTGTTATAACGATGTAGATACGAATAACACAATATGTATATATATATATTATAAAGTATCATCATCCCAGTAGAAACGACTTTGGCGGCGGTTCGTATAATAAATATCATAATATGTTATCGTTGGTTGTCGTCGTAATTACGTTAGGTATATAAGTATATATTGTTATTATACGCGTCTTACGATTGCCGACCCGAATCGAAAAATTCCCGTCCAACGGTGGAAGACGTTAGGTCAGGACGTCAGGTACATACAACATTATACTCGTAGGTACTCAGAGCCGGATTCCGCCATTCCTATATATAGACAGTTCAGTATAACGCTCGTACAAACATAATGAGGTTATCCTTATGGGGACATCTTGTACCGAGGATACGGGGTGTGGTGTGCTGGGAGGGCTTCCGGTTTGGCGCCCAAAAATGTATTTGCCGAATGAAGAATAAACCCCTAAACATTGTATTTTATTACCTAATAATGGTTCCAGTTGTCATATATTTTGATTTCAAAAAAACACTCTTGACATACAAAGGTAATGCCCCGAAATACCTTTACAAACATTATCAAATAATTCTTATTTTTTTTGTTAGTGGTCGCCGGCGGATGTTATTAGTCCCTGCACCATATACTTTTTTTGTGTTTGAATTTCGATTAAGACGAAAACCTTGCGAATACGAATATTAGGACTTTCTATTTAGTTTTGTTTCATTGTAGCACTATAGTTTTATGATTATATATTTGACTTCCGCTGAGTTAAACTTATACGAAATAATGTTGTTATAAAAATTGGTTTGTTGGCTGTGGGGCTAATGAGTAGGTAGGTCATCTCTAATTATTGTTGGCTGAAACATTTTATTTATTCATAAGACACGTGTTACACGTTAGCTCAACCGCAAACAAAAATACCTATGTATTGTATAATTAAGCATTTTTGCGGTAGTTGGATATCAATGAAAATTGGCAACGGTAGGAAGTCGCGATATATTCGACATAATAGTAATATGTATCAATCTAACTCATTGTAAAAATCGTTTATTAATTATTTCCCAAGGTACAAGGCGGCTTCGGTTTCGGCGAAAATATCCACCTTCTTAATTATGCCCTTAACAGTTAATATTCGCCCTATAAAATAGTTTTATACCCTTTGTCTATACTAGCATGCGGCCTAACTTCAATTTCATTTTATTCCGTACCTTGTCTAAAATTATGTAATTCTATTGAAAAGGGATAAGATTAATTTTATTTTTAATTAAAAAACGTGAAGATTAATATTTTAACTATAACAAAATGAAAATATTTATCTGTATAAATATATATATAAAGGTGGGCAAGTGAGTATACGGCTCTGCCGTATGCAGTAGGTACACGTAGCAAGTGGTTCATTGCAAACAGAATGTTAAATTTTAATTCAATATGATATGATTATTGTGTTTACGAAAAAACGATTCTGAGCGGATGAGCTGGGCTGTCAATAGATACATTCTATCAAGTACCATATCATTTCATGATACGATACGTTTTCTATAATTGCTAAATAAGTATACTAGTAGTATTGAGTTCGTCGATGCTGTTGGGCAGCTAATTCGACCGCAGGTTGCAGGGTTGCTAAATACAGTAAACACCTAGTTTACCTATACGTAAACTTCATTATCGACTCGTGTCGGCCAAGTTTATTTTACCCAGTCGGCGCGGTTGCATTTACCTTATAAAGTCTGCCGGGCACCTTCATGAATCGTATATATACGAAACGTAGGTACAATGTAAAGTTTGGAAACGTTTCGCTTTACTAACAGCTCTATATAATATATTAACAGCAGCATTTAAGTTGACGTTTCAGCCAACTCCATGTACCTAATAGCTGTTGCGTGGAGACACCCTCATTACATCTAATGAATATAATAATATACCCACCCATATATTGGGCTTCCTACATTTGTTATATGTAAGTACTAAGTATAAACATGTCTGACGTTTTGCGGTGGGGCGCGAAAACTCCGTTATCGAAAATTCGGAAGTGTAACATCCGTGCTGCGCGATGCTGGTGAAAGGGTGAATAGTTGGGTCGAGCCCACAATCCCGAAACTAAATAAACAAAAATATATAGGGTATATGGTTGTACAATTTCATGAAATGTAATTTTGAATTTGTGTAAATTAGATGGCGATGACATGGTTTCACGCATTTAACTGATTTGTTGCTTTGTATCAATTTTGAGTAAGTACTTCGTTTTATTTTTATTGATGATTCATTGATAGTAATGGCCTCTAGGGCAGAGAGTACAGTAAGGTACATAGAACACAGGTTGGAAATAATATATAGAAATAAACTAAAAAACAATTAAACATTTTTTCAACTATTATCAAAGAAAAAATTTAAATCAGATAGATGTTCGTTGCTGTAATCATATAACGTAAAATTCTACTGATGGAACTATGGACATTTCAGCCAAATTAATTTGTAATCTCGTCTATGACCTAGCGGTAATGATATATTAGACTGGTTCTCGATTCCGGTAATTGGGAGTCCATAAATTTTTTTTTCATTTTTACGAATTATAATTTCTGATTTTCGAATTTCTGTCTGCAGGATTGATATTGTTTTTGGCATTGATAATGGAGATTCGAGATAATAAACATTTTAATTCATAAACAAACTTGACATTTTGGTACTCGAGAAGTTAGGCCAGCAAAAATTAATTTTATGAGTTGAAATTATAATCCCAAGAATCAGATATGTAGTAGGTATTTTTTACGAGGGGGTTTGGTGTGGCAGTAGCTTATAATATTACTAATTATTATTTTAAATTTAACTATTTTAATCACCTATCTCAACTACAACACCGTGTTATCATTACCTCTGTTGTTATTATGTCTGTGAGCAACCGTTATTGTATTAAAATAATATAATATACCTATTAATTTATTACCACTGGCGTCGCGCGAACGTTTGCATACGAGCTTGATTTTTTTTTTAATTGCGATCGTGCGGCGATCACAATATCATTTATTACTCGAGTAAGTACATTATGTTATACACACACACACACCCGTCGGACCGAATCTAACTCGTGTATAATAATATTATGATGGTAATAATTGACGTGGGAACTCTGCACGTTGTACACATCGCTATAGGTGGGCAGGTATATTATACTATATAGGCAGTTCAGGCGTACATATTAAATAATATTATTATTATGCTTATACCTACTGCAGGGCAAAGATCGCCGGTTTTCCACCGTATTTATAATATAATATTATACACACCCGCACGCGTATGACAAAATATAATATGATATTAATTTATTATCTCGGTATCGATGTGTGCATCGCGCGTTTAAAACATATTATAATAATACATTCGCCGCACAGTCGTCTGTCGTCGTCGTCGTGTTTGGCGCGGTGCCAAAAACCTGCGCAATCGGCCGACGAACAATCGTGGACGAGGGACAACGCGTTATGCGATAATTAATACAACGCGCGTGTTTGTCCTGTACGACATGATATATATTATTATTTTATAAATATCCTCAGCGCACCGAACATTATTACCGAAACGAGTGTCGACGGGTAGAGTTATATCGAAGTTAGTCGGTGTTCAAGCTCTTGGGCTGTGCCCTAATGTGGCGCAAGAACCGCCATATCGGCAAAAATAAAATATGTATTAATAAAGTAGTGAACAAAATACACAAAATGATATAGACGATGTTAATATTTTTATCAATACAATAGATGATTTATATGAAATTTCCAGAAAAATATTCTTGTTGGGATGGAGCTAACAGGGAAAAAGTCGACCGGCGTTTAAAAATCTAAATACATCACTGTGGTGCACCTTGCAACCATAGATAATAAAGACATGTATAGGACATACTGCCTTATAAGTGATGAATGAATCAAACCGATTGAGGCCAAATAAGTTTACCTATATCGAGTATCTGACTATTTGTTTATCAAGGTGGATTGATACAATATCAATATCAATCCACCTTGCTGTGTATATAACAAAATAAACCTATACAAAAATGTAAACAAACTGCCTCAATTTCTTATCATGTTGGACCGCAAAACTAATACATAATACGTCATGTCCAATCCATATCTTTATTATCTATAATATTGCACCATTCACGAAATGTATTTCAATTTAACATTGTAGCTCCTCATCCTCATCCACTCATTTTTTGACGGTACACTTCAAGAACTGTTTATTAAAGTTTTTTAAATTTCGACTACTTATACTACGTATAGGTAATCGCGTGAATAAAGACACAATTAATAATTTAACAGTAGCCTAACCTAACCGTTTTTAAAACATTTGGCACCCGTTATTACCAACTCACCCAACAACTAAAAGTACCTAGGTATCTGCAATATACCTATATATACTTACGTGCAGTTTTTGTTTGTTTTTTTCATATAATAATTGAATGTTTTTCGGACCATTTACAGGGCCCCGTTCGAGGAGGATGAAGCGGAAGGACAAGTGCCCGGAGGAGAAGCGGCCCAGGACCGCGTTCAGTGGCGAGCAGCTGTCCCGGCTGAAGAAGGAGTTCAACGAGAACCGGTACCTGACAGAGCGCAGACGCCAGGAACTGGCCAACGAGCTGGGCCTGAACGAAGCCCAGATAAAAATTTGGTTCCAGAACAAGCGGGCTAAGATCAAGAAGTCTAGCGGCTCCAAGAACCCGCTGGCCTTGCAGCTGATGGCACAGGGGCTGTACAACCACACGACGGTCGCCATGTCCGACGAAGAGATGGACGACCACCTGACAGTCACGTCCTCGTAATGTCAGCTGACTCCATCCTTGTCTCTGCTTCATGTTTACCAGTCGGCTGTGTACAAATTGAGCGTCTTTGCCGTTGGAAATTGTTTTTCTCTCTAAAATCTTTATACGCGGGTTAACCAGAGTTCCTTCTGACGGTACTGTGCATGCTATATACAATGCAAACATAACCGACGGCACGTCCTCCATTTACCCTTTCTCATTTCTATCATCATATCCTCCAACAGGTGGATTCCGCGATAAGTGTACATTCGTTGGTTTTTTCTTCCGTTTCTTCCACTTTTTACAGAGTCCTTTTCGTTTCATCTTCCGGTAATCGCACGTCTCCTCTCCCGCGACCAACCTCTAACTCATAGATTTTATATTATTTATGTGCGATATTATATTATAGATATTATAGTTATAATAAATATATAGTCGACGCTTTTATTTTATTTTGCTAAGACTTTGTTTTTCGTTTCTATGCACATACAATGTATAGGTAGTTGGATAATGTGTTTAAATTATACTAAAATTTTAATTGTACGAACCCGGTTTCGTACACCGCGTACGAGTGTACATATTATTATATATTGTAATCGTAGTACGTGCCGTGTAAATAATGCGTAATATTATAGATTTTAGGCATATCTCTTAAATAGCAGTCTTACCGTAAGTCTTTGATAATAATTATTAGTGCGAATTTATACGAACGACATATGTTGATGATCTATCTACTGTTGTGCGCCCAACTATTATATGTATCGCCGTCGCGTCTATTCTCGCTTCATTTTTTTCTGCAGGTATGTAGAACAATCGCGTTTCGTTTTCTGAGTTTCTTAGGCGCTCATTTATGTATTATGTGTGGACGCGAAAATATAGATACCATGATAACCGGATTGTTCGATCTCTAAGATCCTAAAATTCCATAATATTTTCGAAGAGCGAAATTAGTCTTAAAACACTGTTCAACCGATTGTGTTGTCAGGCGACGGTCGTAATCGACATGTTAAAGAGTGTCAAGGCGCATTTTGATCAATACAATCCTTTGTCTCTACTTTTTTTCGAGAATAAATTGTATAAAAAAAAGAAAGTAATCATTTTTGTAAATACCTACATATCGTTAAAAGGTACTAGATTATGCGATAATCGTGGAGCAGCGATAATTATCATCGGTGATTTTCATTTCAAAAAACAACATACATTTTTTATGTGATTCAATATTCCCGTTCTCTTGAACGAAACACTACCGTGGGTATATTCGTGATCCTGCTATCGAATATTTCTGTATGCGAACAGCGTGGGTATCCTATCTCCATTTTCGTGTCTTATAATTTGTTTATAGGTACCTACTATTAACTTGTAGCCATAATTATTGTGGCATATTGATGAGGCTTAATTTACTCACAAGCACTTGCCGCTAAATGGTTCGTTTGAACAAATAGAAATTTATTTATTCCTATGACCCGTAGGACGACAAAGCGTTGTCTTCCTTATCCGAGGCAGCTCAGAGTATGCAGAAGGCGTAGGATAGACGGCAATTTAATGTAGGCATAGGACCAATGAGCTTGAAATTATAATATTTCATTGGACTAAATTGTTGTACGGCGCGGCGGCGTCTCATCGTGATACGACGTAGGCAAAGACAAAAAAAGACGGTGTGAATTATGTTAAGTATTACAATGTATGTGTTTCATGGACATGGTGTTCATAGGTGTAATAGGTAGGTATAGGATGTGCGTGTTAAACCTGCGCATCTAGCAAATACGGCTCTATAGCATGTAAGACATTTTAGAAATAACGTAGACTGAAATATTTAGATTTTATTTAAGAATTTTACGATTACATATTTTTATTTTTAATTGTATTTCTAGTCATTAATAACTATATATGTATTATTATATTATATATTATATCATTATACGCTAAATGTATTCATGTACAATTATATTGTCGTATGCAGTGTATACACATATATTTATATACCATGTATGTACTCGACTTCTATATTATATGTATTTGTGTTTAGGTGTACCTAAACGATGTTTCGTTTGATCAAATTACGTTTACATTTACCTACATAATTTTTTTCATAGATACATACGTACCTAATTACATTATAGGTATATAATAATTATATAGGTAACTACACACATGTAATTATCATTACGTTGTCTTTTTGATTATTTCGTATACATATAGGTATATATATATATTATATATATATATAATGTTAAATATCCACTGTAAAAATACAATGACGATAAAAATAACAATAAAACAATTAATATAATCATATTATACTTCAATGTTTCATTTATTCCATTTGAACTCCTTTAACCTAGCATAATATCATATAACATAATACAGCTGCGTTCCTGTTCAAGATCATTGGTACAGACGGACACTCGAATTAATGATGATGATAAAATATAATTTTATATCATAAATATTACATTGTAACGAAAAAACAAGAAGCCTATAATTATGGTGTAACACAGCCCTTTATCATAGAGTTTGCGACCGGCACGATAATTTTATTATTACGTAAGTTTATATCACCAAATTATTATAATTAGTGGCAGTATCGCCGACCGTTCCACGCACTTCCACCTCCCACCCGCACCACACACATATCTCATACCCTATCAGTGAATTATATTTTGTATACTATTTGTGTGTGTTAATTATTTAAATATTTTTGTTTAGTAGTAGTAGTGCATCGATCGCAAACCCGTATGGTTGAATGTCCGATAAAATGTATAGGCGCAAATCGCCGACGATTTTTATTGTTATAAATGTATTGGTGCTAATCGCCGAGCTCATATTTTAGTATAATATTTATCTATCCGTGTGCGCCTATAGCCGCTGTGTTGTTTTTATTATAATTCTTACATTATTCGTTGCTATGTTATATATTACTGTTATAGCTGTTACGGCTCGTATAGCCACTGTCATTTTTGTGATATTACTATTTGAAAATTGTATTATTTTGAGTGCTAATCGCTGTAATTTTAGTGTAACAATTATTATTATTATTATTTTTTTTTTTACTTCAAACCATTTTGATAAACAACCAAACAACAGTTAACGCAAGATACTATAGGCTTAAAGTGAGATTGAAACTGCATTTTGTGTCGTCAAAGGGATTTTAGAATGTCTAAAGTACACTTAGTACACTGGTTGATACATTCATTGCACTTCTTCCCAAATGAGGCTATATCCCAGTTTATTACCTTTTCGCCCCTCTTCCAGTTGAGCATTAACATTAACGCTTCTCTGACTTGCCCAAACATACCCTCTTCACACTAACCACCCATAAAGGACATGATCACTCCTTCTGTCATCCTCTCCCTAAGCCATTGTTGGTGACTGTGCTCGAAGCTCTCTGTTTCATCAACTAGGTTGGTGTCTTTTAGCTCTGCTAGTTTATTCATTACTGTGTCTCCAATAAGGTTTGCTGTGAAGAATAATGAATTTATACAGAATGTAGTATATGAGGGTCCCAGCTTCATAATTGCATTGGTCCTCACACAAAGTGCGAATTTAGAAAGCTCAAACATCTGTGCCTTCTTGACAAATTTGGCATACTCTTATTGTCTGGGCTTTAATCTGATGGCCTCAAGCCCTCAACCACCAAAATGTTCACTCTGTCTGACGATTCCCTAGCATGCTGTGGGCCTCTTATCATAAACCCATGGAAGTACCTTTTCACTGATCCTTCATCATCTCTGCAAGTTGCATATATAGGCATGATTGAGACGATAACTTCCCGCTGCCTACCAGGCATGCACCTCCAATCCTTGAAAAAAGTTTGGTCATTTTCCTCGTTGTCATTGTAGCATAAGTGATATTGAATGTTTAAACAAGGTCAGTAGCCTTGGTCATTGACCACTTCAGCTTCTTCCCTCTCAAGATGACTAAATGGTCTGTGCTCATTGTTTGTGAAACAAACATCCAACGTCGACCATCAAAGAATCAAACCATTCCATGTAACTGCACTTTTTACCCCACTTTCCCAGAGCCAACCAAAGCGTGGTGCCGATAGTGGGCTGAAGTGTTGTTACACCTTCTTCACAATGTCTTCTACTGCTTCTATGTGAATAGCCTTAATCAAAAAACATACAAAAGTCGCAATCCATGCCTTTTTACTAGGTCTTCCTCTTATTCCATAGCGACTAGAGAAGGGGCCTGCAAAATCCACAACTGTGTTGGTGAAGGGTCGTGTAGTCTGGACATGTTGCCTTCGCAGGTGTCCCATACTTGAAGTATCAAATGTGGGTTTAGCCTTGATACATTAAATACACCAACGAAAGATTGAGCGAGCTATCGTAGATAGAGTAATCTCTACCCTTGATCGGCCAATAACGATGCCTGACCTGTGCAAGTAACGATTGAGGGCCGCAATGCAATAATTCGGAATGAACATGGACGAAAATCATCTTCGTGATTTTATGGTCACATGCGAGAATAATTGGCTCCTTTTTAGATCTTGGTATGTCGTTTCTTAAGCGTCTATCAACTACTATCAGCTCATTTTTTTTTATGGGTTGTAATGATTTTAGCTTGCTTCGACAGGATATCTTCTTTCTGAATATTAATGCTAAAATATCACTATTAAACGAGTCTATCTGCGCTCTTTTTAGCTGTGTGTCAGCTCTTTTGAACTCTTCAGCAGTAAGGTAATGTTTGTCTGGTTTTGTATGTTTTGATTTAAGATAATCTACAAACTTATGCATACAGGCTACTCCTCACCGAAGTTTATACTATCAGAGTAAAAGTTGCCTAGATCTTTTGTTGGTTCCATCGCTATTAAACCTGACCTTATAAGCTTTAATTCTGTGAGATCTACTGGTTTTTTAAACACATTTGGGTCTTCCTTCCAACCCTTGTCGTCTTCTCTCAGCCACAATGGCCCTTGCCACCATAACAATGTTTCCTTCAAGTCTTGAAATCTTATTCTTATGGATAAAACATCAAGCGGATTCTCGTTGGAACTGGTATGGTGCCATTATTGATTATTTGTCATCTCCAAAATTTGACATATCCTATTTGATACGTATGTCTTGAGACGGTTAGGGTGACTGTTCATCCATCCAAGAACTATTATTGAATCAGTCCTTAGCCACAATTGAGAGATATCAATTTTCCCCAGAGTTCGCAATCATTAGGGCTAACTAGGCTAAGACTAATGCACCACCAATCTCTAGGCGTGGAATTGTAGCTCTAGTGAGTGGTCCTATACATGTTTTAGCGCATATCAATTTGACATGCCATCTACCAAGGTGATCTTTGTTTCTAACATGCATACCATGCATACACCGTTTATAAACAGATGACTGAAACTAAAAGTTTAAATATTTTGGATTTTGGACGTTTTAAACCGCTCGCTGCGCTAGTGTCGTCGATGCGTCTACTATGAAACGTTCCATTTAGTACGCTTGTCGGCCGACGGGTGTTCATTCATTTGAACGTCCCCTTGTCCGTCAGTTGGTCCTGTATGACAGTAAACAAATTTTTTCCCATTCTACTTACCGTAGCTGGTAGTAGTACAGTATTTTGTGTCATAAATGATTAACGATGAAAAGAAATTAAAAATCTTTATGTGTTAACACGCAGACCTGCAAATTAATATTGTATGATCTTATTGTACTTAAATAATACTGAAGATGTGAATAGTCACGATTATGTGGATGGTTGTCATATTTGTTTTACAATCGTAATGAAAATACGTTTGTGGTTACTGGTGTAATAATGAACACGATATCTGCGTGGGTACGTTCTGTCTTCGTTGCGCGATATCGCCGGCTGTTTCAATTTTGTTTCGCGTGCAGCTGGTTTTCGTAAAGTGTTAATTGCTTGAATTGCCATTCACCTGTTAAATAGATGAACGTTGTCTTTAGTACAATATTGATAAGTGTCAAAAGTTTGCAAGACATTTTATATATCCCAAGTAATAATAATTTCAATGTTTTATGTCGTTTTCCAATTACCGTGTTTTAAACACGGTGCATACACCGTTTATGAACAGATGATTGAAACGTATACTTTTCAATATAAGAGTTTAAATATTTTGGATAGCTATAATTTTATTAGACAATAGTAAGTCAGATGATATTCGGACCTTGCGAGTGTGTTGTAAAATTGAAGCATGCTCGGTCACTGCTGTCTGCGTTTTGTACCACTCGCTGCGCTAGTGTCGTCGATGCGTCTACTATGAAACTTTCCATTTCCTCCGTTTGGCGTCCAACGGGTGTTTTCATCTCTCATTTGAACGTCGTCCCGTTTGGTGGTTGGTCGCGCGCTCGTGTGTGGCATTGTACGAACTTTTTCCCATTCTACTTACTGTGAGGTTGTAGTACAGTATTCTGTGTCGTAAATGCTTCACAATAAAAATAATTTGAAAATCTTTATGTGTTCACACGCAGATCTGCAAAC